CTGGAAACGAGAGGGAAAAGCCGCGGGTCAGTCTCGTGCTCCGTTTCTGAGGATTCTCTCGTGTGAATTTCCTTCGCTCTCGCCTCCGCTGCATCCGTAACTAGGCAACGGATTGGCAACCATGACAGATAACACTGAATTGACCTTTTTTTCTGCCTTCCGTGTCTTCTTTCCTCTTTATCTCCCTCCTCTTCCTCATTTATTTCTCAGTCATTCCAAATCCTATCAATTCCCTCTGGAAAAGTTCGTTGTGACAGACGTGGGAAAGGGAATAAATGAGAATGAATAACTCCATTACGCAAGGGATGAAACAGACGGCTATAGATTAAATCTCCATCAGAGTTACATGCGAGTGTCATTCTTACCGGAATTTAATTGAAACGCGCCGATTACATTTCTATATTCACATTCTCATTTCAACCTCCTCCGCGAGTCTTCTCTCTTTCTACGCCTCTCCATCACCCCAGCCCTTCTTCCTTTCTTCCTTCCTATTACCTTTATCTTATTACTCGTATAATCATCTCTCTCTCTCCGTCCCCCGAATCACCCCCCTCCCCCCCGTCCCAGCACACGCACACCTCACAGGGGCCTCGTAAACCCTGTGACGAAATGACGTAACACTGCACTGCCGCAACCTCACGCCAATCACTACATGGCGTTATATAAACAATTACATAAAAAAATATATATATAAATATGAAATAAATCAATAAAATACACAAGTAAACGATTAAGTAAACAAATAAGCACAAGTTATACCGTGCGGGACACGTGGTCATCCGAGCGATAATCTCGACACGATTAACCGCCCAACTTCCTGCGACTTTGGCCTCCTCCTTCCACTCTCCTGCCCTAACCCCCTCCCCCCTCTCCCCATTCTCCCCTCTCTCCTCCATTCCCTCTTCCCCCTCTCCTAATTCCCCTCTCTCCTCCATTCATCTCCACCTCTCCCCACTCCCCTCTCTCTCCTCCATTCCCTCTTCCCCTCTCCCAATCCCCCTCTCTCTCCTCTCCCCCCTCTCTCCCTTCTCTTCTCTCTCCTCCATCCCCTCTCCTCCCTCTCCCCATTCCACTCTCACTCCTCTATTCCTTCTCCCCCCCCTTCTCTCTCTCCTCCACCCCCTCTCTCTCATCCATTACCTTTCTCTCTCCTCCACCTCCCCTAATTTTTCTCTCCCTTTCTCCCCTCTCCCTCTCTCCCTTTCACCCCCCCCCCTTCCCCGATCATTTCCCTGCTCCCGCCGGGTCAAGACTACGCACTAATGTAATAATAAGTGTCCCCGCATCGACCCCCTTGTCCCGCCTGCCCCCGTAATCTCCCTCCCGAGTTCGCACTGACCCCGAAGCGTTATCTTCTTTAGCCGGGAGAGGAGGAAGGGAGAGAGGGAAGAGGGAAAGGAGGAGGAGGACGAGAGAGTTTGTGTGTGTGTGTGTGTGTGTGTGTGTGTGTGTGTGTGTGTGTGTGTGTGTGTGTGTGTGTGTGTGTATGTGTGTGTGTGAGAGAGAGAGAGAGAAAGTAAGTGAGTGAGTGAGAGAGAGAGAGAAAAAAGGAGAAAACGAAATAGAGAAAGAAAAAGAAAACGAAAAGGAAAAAGCAAAGATAAAGAAAAAGAATGAGAAAAAAGCAAAAACACAATAAAAAGTGGAAATAGAGAAGGGGGGAAGTAAGGGGAAGCAGAGAGAGGGGAGACCTTTCAGCACACTCACCAATATACACAAAAACTGTTATACTGTAATAATTATTATAAATCAATGCAGTCATGGGCAAAATAATCTGTTATCTCTTTTTTTGTTGTTAATGATAAAACGACGATGCATGAAATAGAAAACAGGAAAACAAAAGGAATAAAAAGGCATTAATATTACTCAAGAAGTAAAGAATTTCTTTGACAAAGAAAAAAAATCAAAGCATTGTTCCTTTCGCTATTAACTTTCAATTTCGCTGGTAATTAATGGAAAATAGACGCTGCTGTTTTGCTGCCGCCACTGTCCTCGACCAATTTTTTCATCAACAGGAAATGGCTAAAGTTACACGAGCATCATTTTCTCGCCTACCAAGGACACGGAAGTTACTGCTAATTATTTCATTCATAGGATTAAATATACCTTCTTCTCCGGAACGGGTTGGCAGCGTTGCCAGTTCCTTACGTCAGTTAAACATAATTATCATCTATCAATTTACTCCAAATAACCATTACTCTTAGGAAGTGCCTCGTGACTCCCCCCCCCCCCCCAACTGCCTCCAGTTTGAGAATCACTAATCTATGGAATTGAAAAAAAAACGATCATGTACAAAATGAATGAAATTAACCAATCAAACAAAACAACCCGTTTCGTAATACTTGTTTATGCGACGCACAAATGATAGCCAACTATATTTTGATTGCTATAATTTTATAATTCCACATATCTATCCCATCAAAATGCGAAAATGGAAATTGCATAATTCAAAATCATTTACGCAGACGCACACACATTAAAATCGACAAAAAAATACGAAACAAATAAATAAACAAACAATCCTACCTCCTCTTGCATTCTGCAACCTCCTCTCCCATGCACAACGCAGCCTCACACACACACACAAAAAAAAATGGCTCTCGATTCGAATGAGGCGGCTGCGACTCTCCCCTGCCGACCCCTCGACTGTTTGTTTAGTCCCCCGCCAATGGCGCTGCCTCCGCCGCCATGCATCATTATGCGGTCCTCGGAGAATCCTCCCCTTCAACCAATCCCCAGCCCCTACCCACTTCTATCCTCCCCTCTATCCTCCCCTCTATCCCCCTCCCCACACTCATCCCAACCCCACCCCCCCGCTGCATACAATGTACTTCCTGAACTCCAAGCATCGCTAAATTCCTTTTATGACTGTTAATAACTGGATCGTGCGTCGAGTGGCTGTTACGAGGGGAGTTACTACGGAACAAATGCCGAGCGCACATGTTCACATTACGGAACAAAGACGGAAGAAGAGAGGGAGGAAAGAGAAGAGAAGAGAGGAGAGGAGAGGAGAGGAAAGGAGAGAGTGAAAACGAGAGAGAGAGAGAGAGAGAGAGAGAGAGAGAGAGAGAGAGAGAGAGAGAGAGAGAGAGAGAGAGAGAGAGAGAGAGAGAGAGAGAGAGAGAGAGAGAGTGGAGGGGGAGAGAGAGAAATAGAGAAGGAGGGAATTGAAGAGAGCAAGAAAAAAAGGAAGAGGGAAGGGAGGAAGGGAGGAAGAGAGTGAGAAAGAGAGAAATAGAGGAAGGGAGGGAGGCAGAGAGATGAGAGAGCGAAAAGAAAGGAAAAAGAAAGGAAGAACGAAAAGAAAGGAAAGAGAAAGAAAGAGCAAAAGGGAAAACAAAGAAAAATAAAGAAGAAAGAAAGAAAAAACAGATAATTCGCTCTCTCGCCCAAAGAAAACGAGAAAAGTGCCCCGCCATGCAAGGGAACTTTACAAAATGCATGAAGTCGCCCGCGCATAAAGCAGAAGAGTGACAAATTTATGCATGACGGCGAGAGAATGCCCGAATTTTAACTAATAGGAGGATGAGCGGGAAGAGGAACGGGCGCTGTTTGGGAAGAGGGGAGAGGAAGAGGATGAGGAAGATGAAGGAAGAAGAAGAGGAAGAGAAGGAGATAAAGTAAGAGAAAGAGAAGAGGAAGACGAAGAGTAAGAAGGAAAAAATGAAAGAAAGAAGCGGAAAAAAGAAAAAGGTGACGAAGAGAGGAAAGACAAAGAAGGAAGGGTCGAGAATAGGAGAGAGAGAGAGAAAGACAGAAACTTAACGGGTGTGCCAAGAAGACTGATGACAAGGGGAAGATGTAAAGAGAGGAATGGAAAGAAAGAAAGAAAATAGACAAAGAGAGGAATGGAAAAAGACAAAGGAAATAGACACCGAGGAAAAAAAAGGATCTGCCTTCACAAATAGCCTAAAAGGGAATATCAAGCCATGTGGAGATAAGCACATTTCTTAAAATAAAGGCAACGAACACCATGAGAAACAGAATGGGAAGAAAATAAAGAAAAGGTCCTTAGCAGAAGAGCGATCAAGCAGAAGAGAGGAGAGAGAACTGGGGGGAGAGAACTGGGGGGAGAGGAGGGAGGAAGGAGGAAGGAGAGAGGAGACAGGAGAGAGGAAACAGAAGAGAGGATACAGAAGAGAGGATACAGAAGAGAGGAGACAGTAAAGAGAGAGGATAGAGGGGAGAGGGGAGCTGCAGGAGAACAATCAATGTAAGGCAGGTTAACTCAGGAAGATCGGTAGGGAGCATAATGCTATCATTATCATTATCATCATCATCACCATTATCATCATCGCCCTCCTCCTCCTCCTCTTCGTCGTTGTCATCATAATCCTCACCATCATCATTATTATCACCATTATTACCATCATCATTTCTAACGACGGGAACATACCAATCCATAAATAAAAAACGACAAGAATACACCAATTGAGTAAAAAAAAATGACTCACGAACCAGACGGCAATAAACATACAAAAACATCGACCCTATTTAGCGTAAAGATAAACACGGGCCTGGAGGGTCAACGAGGCCCCATCGCGTTCCTCTGCGTTAACGAACTCATTAAAGTTGTGTTGTAGATGAGGAAGGGAAGAAAGTGGGGATGGAAAGGTCGGAAAGATAAGATAATGAAAAGGAGGAGGAGGAGGAGGAGGGGGAAGAGGGAGGAGGTACCATAGAGAGAGACGGGGAAGAGAGAGAGAGAGAGAGAGAGAGAGAGAGAGAGAGAGAGAGAGAGAGAGAGAGAGAGAGAGAGAGAGAGAGAGAGAGAGAGAGAGAGAGAGAGAGAGAATTCTACATACACACAAAAAAAATCCAAATATGGAAATAGAAGAGCTAAACACACAGACAAAAAATAAACAACCAAACAAACAGACTCAGCAAGAGAATCGCACTACCAGAACAATAAAGGAACGAATCAATGACCTCTGACCCGCCTACCCCCGCCGTGCTGACCGCCGCGCCTTGCCCTCCGCTCGCCTGGCCAGTGCGTTTCC